AAAAAAAAAAAAAAAAAAAAAAAAAAAAAAAAAAAATTAATCAAGAGACAAAATAAAAATCTTTTTATAAAAATTACACACATAAAAAAAAGAACAAAAAATAATCAAAAATATTAAACATACGAAATGCTTTAAAAAAAAAAAAATAAAATAATAGTATATTTAATAACATTAGATATATATGAGAAGGTTTGATAAATTGTTTTGGAATTAATATAATTATATATATTACCAGTATTAAAAACAGAGCAACATATATATTACATACATAATTTGTAACAAGTAATTTTGAATTTAATCATTTTCTTCAAATTGATAATCAATAAAATAAATTCCTTTATCACATGAAAAAATTATTTTATTATTTTTATATCTAATAAAATATGACCATTTAAAATAAAATAGACCAACTGGTAATTGGACACATTTAAAAAATAAAAAAGTGGATAAATTAAAAATTAGTATTTGATTCTCTACTAATATAAATAGCATATTCTCAACGGATTTATAAATGTCTAAAATTTTTTTCTTTAATTTTTTTATTCTATACATATCTATTGCCTTTTTAAAATCAAATATTATTAGTCTGTTTCCATTTTTAGCTACAATTATTTTTTCATCATCTAAAAATTTCCCATGACTTATAAATTTAGATGAAGAAAAATCTACGCAAAAAATTAATTCATGATCACACTTTTGTGAATTTGTAGAAATTTGTAAAACACGAATGTGACATTTCCCAAAATTGTTTTTGTAACATAATAAATAATTTATATTGAAATCAAATATAACTATATTTTTTAAAAAGTTTTTGTAAAAATAACTCATAAAATTATTTGTAATATCGTAGATAAATAAATTTTTTGAATTATTAAATAAAATAAGGTTCTCATAGTATATTACTTGTTTATTATTAGAAACTTCTAAGTTTACCTTTTTTATAAATTGATATGTTTTTATAGAAAAAACATCAATACAGTTTTCATAATAAATGTAAACATATTGTTTATCTATATATATAGACTTAATACTATTATTCCTAAACATACATATTATATGGTATTTTTCAATTATTTCATTATTATTTATTTCTTTCTTATTTCTCAATACATCTTCATTATTTGAATTGTTATTTATTTCTTTAAATTCATTTTTGTTCATATCATTTAAAATTTGCTCATCTGATTCTATCTTCTTTTTATTATCAATTAAGGAAATCTCTGTATTCACTTCCTTATTTTCTTTCTTTGTTATTTTGTATAAGCATACTTTTCCCGTTAAAGATCCTTAAAGAAAAATTAAAATATAAATAAAAAAAAATAAAAAACATATATAAAAAAATTACATAAAAAAAAAAAAAAAATCATAATAATACCTGTACATATATAATCATCGTCTGTATATAAAACAACTATAGGATCAGATAACAACGTCTGAATGCAATTATGTAATAAAACTTTTTCTTTTTCTTTCTCTTTAAGAAAAGAAAATATATTTCTCCATTTAAAACAACTTTTCATCATTTTATTTTCAATATTCATTTTTAATTGTATTCAATAATTTTTTCATTGAATTATTTACATTTTTAATTATAAATTTGAAAAAAAAAAAAAAATAAATAAATACAAAATAAAATATAATAAAATAATATAAAAGAAAAAAAAAAAAAGAAAAATAAAATAAAAAAAAAAAAAAAAAGACTTTTTTTTAAAGCTTAAAAAAATAAAGTTTTACATTGAAAAAAAAAAAAAAAAAAAAAAAAAAAAAAAAAAAAAAAAAAAAAAAAATACAAAATAAAATATAATAAAATAATATAAAAGAAAAAAAAAAAAAGGAAGATGAAATGAGAAAAAGAGAAAAAATTAAAAAAAAAAAAAAAAAGAGAAACCAAAATAAGTAAAAACTATAAAAACTAAAAATTAATGATTTATATCTAAAATTATCATAATGAAAATGTTTACTTACAAATTTTTAAGCTTTTGCTAATTATTTTTCTATCACAATTTATGTATTTAAGAAAAAAATATTAAAAAAAAAAAATATTTAAATTATAATATAATAGAATTTTTATTCTTTTTTCTATATTTTTACTTTTTTTTTTCATAAAAATGCAGTACTAAATGTATATACTTCGATGCATAATGATTATAATTTTAACTTTGTGAATACAAAATTAAAAAATTTGAAGGAAACAAAAAAAAAAAAAAAAAAATTTTTTTTATTAGAATTAATATAAGAAAAATTTTAAAATATAATATTTAAAATTATAAAATAAAAATTAAAAATAAAATAATTAAAAAAAAATATAATTAGAAAATTTTAACTCCTTTAAATTTCAACAATTATTGAGTCTATTATATCTTAGCTAAATTTAAATTACCATCATTAAAAAATTAAAATTAATTATAATAAATAAATTTAAAAATTATATAATAATTTTTGACATAAAATTGAAAAAGAATAATATATAATATACACTGTAATATTTTTTTAAAGTTACATTTGATAGTCTTAGTTTTTTTTTTTTTTTTTTTTTTTCAAATTTTAATTTCATATAAATTAATAATTATATATCAAATTAAAACACATATAAATAAAAGTGTAAAATTATTTATAAATCTTGTAGAACATTTTCATCATTATCACTATCTTCTTTTATGAATGGTTCTAATAAATATGATGTGAAATCAATATTATTTACTTTTTCATTTATATATTCGTCATACTTCCAAAAGCTATATAAAGATAAATTAATTAGATAAGTTTCTGAATATTGTAAATTTTTAATATAAATATGAGTAGAATGGACATTTTGTTCTTCTAAATGTTTTATAATTTTTTCAGCTCTACAATGTTTAATATCTTCAATATAACCTGATTAAAAAAAATATATATAATAATGTCACCTAGTTATTATATTGATATTAATAAGAATAGTAAATTAAAAATAAAAGGTTAAAATTTTGGGATAATTAATAATAATAATAAGAAGAAGAAGAAGAAGAAGTAATATATAATTTAACCTGCAACTTTTGCTATATATTTAAAAAAGCTTTTTTGTCCTACAGTTTCAATAGGAGTAGCTTTTGAAAAAATTTTTTGATCAATAAACATAAAACAAATTTCAAAAAAATATGGTGATGGTAATTCAAATAATTCATTTGGATTTTTATATTCTTCCTCTTTTATATTTATAAAATTTTTTATATAAAACCAAAAAGGAAATTCAACATCAACATAGGTAAAAGAGGAAAGAAAAATAGCTAAATAAATTGGCATCCATTGTCTTTCTCCAGCTTTCATTTCTTTTATTTCAAAACCCTTTAAAAAAAAAAAAAAAAAATTATAAATTCATATATATATATATATATATATATATATATATATATATATATATATATATATATATATATATGTAAGCATAGTATTTCTTTTTCTTTTTAACTTCAATAAATTCTATTGGCACAAATGGAATATCTACAAGAGCTTTAACTACAATTAATTCACCTAATGCTTTATCATATAAAGACATATTTATGGCATCATTTAAAAATAGTTTTGCATATTGTATGTTGTTATAATAATAAGAAGAGTTAAATTTTAAAGGAAGATATTCAATATCAATATCAATATTTATTAATGATTTATTAATTATAGTAGGTCTGCTTATATCAATATTATCAATATATATTTTTTCATTATTAACTGATAAATCATTATCTCCTACTTCTATATTATCTAAGTAGGAATATATATTATGAATATTTTCTCTACTATTAAAATCATTACTTTTTTTAGATCTTATATATACCCCATTATTTAAAACATATTGATATAAATTATTGGGAAGTGGTATAATTTCTGAATATGCAATAAATGTAGTAAATATTTTATAATATCTATCATAAATAGCTTTAAATATAACAATTTTAATTTCATTTTTGTTTTTTTCTTCATTATTTTTGTTAAATTCTAGCTCATAAATATGATTTTCTATTTTATCTAATAATGACTCAGCTATCATTTTTGTATTTTCGTCAATTTTAATATTTTTATTTCCATATATTAGTTGATTTCTCAAGTATTGAATATAGTAAAAAGACACACATAATTCTGAATTTTTACAAGGTAAAGGAGGAAATTCAATAGTAATTGTATTTTCTATATCATTATATATTTTATCTTTTGTTGTTTTATCATATTTGTTATAATAATTAAGTGAATCATCTTCATTATGAGCTCTTCTTTGGGTTTTCTTATTTAAGTTGAATAAACTTTTTGTTTCATTTTTGTTTTCTATTCTATCTGTGTTAGATGCTCTCTTTTTTGCTTTGTGCTTCTTTTTAAAAATAGAAAAAATATCATCCATATTGAAAGATTATTATTTTTATACTATATATTCTTTCTTCTAGTTACCTAAATAATATTAATATATATTAAAATTTTATATAAAGAAAAAAGTATTTTAATTTATTTTTCTATTTTTCTATTATATTTTTTCTATTTTGCTTTTCTTTTTTTATGTCATTCATATTTATTTATTACACTATTACATGTATACTTTAGATTCATGTAAGATTCATTTTATTATTTTTTTTTTTTTTTTAGAGATGTGATATTTTTTAAGAAAAAGACTTTCCTTAAAGGTAGTTTTTGAATTTCAAAAGTGTTTTAAAAAAGTTCAAGTAAAACATAAGTTTAGTTATAAAACCCTAATCTAAGTTTGTGTATTAAGTAGCAATAAAATATACAAATAAATTTTCTTATTCTAAATAATAGAAAGACAATATTAATTTTAAATTACATCTTTAATATTTATAAGAATATTATATATATATATAGGCATATATTTATTTTTACATTATGAATATTTTTTTAAAAGTATAAATTTTTATTATTAGAAATTTATAATAAAATATATTTTTTTACGAAATAATTTAAGTGTTTTTTTTTTTTCTACAAATTAATTTTTTGTGTTCATATTTTTTTTTTATAGAAAATTTTTTAATAATTATAAAAACATATATTATAATATATATATATATATTTTTTTTTATTATATTTCTAACTATTATCAATAAAAATAACTTCCTATTTAATATTTCCCTATTGATCATAGTACTCTTCTTTTTTCTTTTGTTTTATGTATTTTAATTATAAGTAAAGATAGAGAAAAAAGGAATAAAAAGAAAAATGATATTATAATTTTTACTGAAAAAAAAAATAGGTATAAAAGTATATATCATATTATGATCCTATTACAAAATTATATGTTGGTGAGAGATATTTTTATTAAGACATATTTAAGTCTACATATATATAGAAATTATTTTAAGTATTTTAGAAATATTATAATAATATATTAAAATTATATAGTTATATAACTATAAAGAAGAATTTTGTTAAAAGCATATTATAATTATATTTAAAATTCATTAATATATTAAAATATAGAGAAATTTTGCATTTAAATAAATTATATTAACATTATTCATTTATAAAAAATCTTTTCAAAAATAATTACTTTTTTTTTTATTTAGGAAATGTATTACAAAATTTAAGGATAAATTATTTATTATATTAATTTTTAGAAAAAAGAAAAACAAAAAATTAAATATCTTTAATTTATTTTAATTCGAAACAAACTAAGAATTATTTTATTATTCAATCAATATATTTTTTTTATAAAATTATAAAATTATTTTTATATTTATTAATTACAAGATAATCGATAAAACAAGAAAAAAAAAAAAAAAAATAGATGAATTTTTTATCAAATACTAAATATATATACACCTTTATTTTATATATCATTTTTAATAAAATAACGAGATAATACACTAGTACCATATTATCATGTTTTTTTCTATTTTAAATTATATCAATTATATATAAATATTGTCTAATTTATAAAAACATCGTAGTTCCAATATCTATATTTAAATGTTAACATAAAAAACATACATAGTAAATTTTAAATGAATAAAACCTATAATTAAGGAGTGATAAGAAAAAAATTAAAAGAAAATGTTGTCTTTTTTACCTAAATAAAAGTTATTACAATAAAATATAATTTTTTTTAATATAAAATAATTGTTATTTTTATTAATTAAAATGGAATTATTTATTTATATAAAAATAGATATATATGATAAAAAATTATGGAAATCTATAATTTTTACTCAAAATATTTTTCTTTTTGTCATTAGTTTTATATATACATAATATTTCATTTGTTTCTGTTATAGTAGAAATTATTAAATTTTTATAAGATTTTATTTTTTGAGGATCAATAATTTGAATCAAGAATTTTATTTTATCTTTGTGATATTAATAATTTTTTCTAGATGAAAAAAAATATTATATTATAAAATCTTTCGTAAAATATAAGTTTAACTATGTAACTCTTTATACTACTATACCTCAAATAAAGTAAAAAAGTGTATTTATTATAATTCCTTATAGTTCATTTATTTGAAATATATATATATATTTCTTTTTTTTTTTTTTTTCCATTTTTAAATATACCTAATATAACTCTTATAGAATTTTTTCCTATTATTTATGAACATAAAACTGTAATTAATATTAAACTTATATATTTTAGAGTAATTATAATTGTTTAAATCTAATATGTTATTCCAACTAATAAATTTATACTATTTTATTATTTTATAATTATTAGGTGCTAATTGTAAATTTTTTAATTATATTATTTCTTTATTTAAGAATATATCATATTCATAAATTTTATAGTACTTATTCTCCTCATATAATAGAGCACAAAAAAAGATTTAAAATAAAAATGATACATCGATATTGTAATTTTACATAAAATTTATATACACAAATAATTTTTATCTGTTTTTCAAATTTTTCAAAAAACAATGATAGCAAAAAAAATATATAGAAAGTCTTTAAATTTTTCAAATAAGTAAAAAATTTTTAAAATAAAAAAATTATACTGAAATTGGTTGAAAACAAAAAAAAAAAAAAAAAAAAAAAAAAAAAAAAAATGCAACCAAATTTAAAAAAAAAAGAAATATATTTATAAAGAGGAAATGGAAAATTTTCTAAATGTGTTGTTGAACAAAATTATATGAGGAAGCATTAAATATAGTCAACAAACATTCAATTATAATTATCTAATATATATAAAAAATAACTTAAAAATTTTTTTTTTTTTTTTTCTCTCTCTAAGTAATTGGAGAAAGTAACTCATTATATAAATGTTCTTTTATCTAGAAGTAAAATCATCTTAGAAATAAAACAAAATGGTAATATATAGTAAAATAAATATAATATATAAAAAATAAAGATGGGATGAACTATTTTAACTATGTTTAACCATATTGATAAAATAGAAATTTTTAATATATACTTAACTAGAAAAAATATAAAAGTAATAGAATATAGATTAGATTTATATAAAATTTGTAATAGATATTTTATTCGATACTTTTATTTAAAGAAAAAAAAAAAATAAAAAAAAATAAAAATTAGTATTAAATAATGTTCATATTTAAAGTTAACATTTAACTTACATTTCTATAGTATTAATTTTGTGGCTTGCTTTAGAGAAAGAAAATAAAAAAAAAAATATTTGACATACTATATATTACATTAAAATGATATTTATAAAATTTTTGTAGTTCATTTTTCATATATATATATTTTATATATATATTTATAATAAAATATTGAATTTTAATTTTTTATTTAGTAATAATATTAAATATAAATTTTATTTTTATGTTTGCACACTTACTAATTTATTTATATATATAAAAATGTACGAAACTAAATAAATTGTAAAATAACGTATTAAAAAATTTTAAGATTAGGAAAAAAAAATTTTTACAACTATAAACAAATAAAACTCTCCATGAAAATTTAGAATTTTTCTCCTTTCATTTATAGCGCAACTTTTGAAAAAAAGAAAATCCTTTTTTTTTTGTAAGTAATGCACTCATTTATCCTTTTCATATTGTCTTTTATTTTTTTTGTGCATTCAATGATTGAAGGGAGCACATTTAAAAAATTATTCATTTTATATATTTAGAATATTTCTACCCATAAAATTTAAATAAAAGTATATATATATAATTTCATTAAAATTAATTTTATTTAACAATAACAATTTATAAAATAATAAATTATTGTGATATTTAAAAAAATATATTTTATTTAAATCATGAAGCAAAAAAAAAAAAAAAAAAATGTTTTATTAGATTAAAAAAGCGTTACACTGCACAAAAAAAAACCACATGGTGCTATTAATATATCGACACTAAAAATAATTATGATAAATTGTTGCTTTATTTTTTTTTTTTTTTGAAGATATATATTTATTTCTGAAAATTTGTATTCAGAAAATTTTTTTTAGTACAAATGAAAAGATGATTCAAGAAAAAAAAATATAAAAAAATGAAATTTAATCACTTTTCATAATTTTTTTAGATCACTTCATTTTAAGTCTACATAATTTTGTAAATTTTATTATTTTTCTATATATTTATTTATCTATCTATTCTTCTTTAATGTAGATTTAAAAAAAAAGAAAAATTTTTCATAGTATTTTTCTACTCACTGATATTATATACGTGTGTTATTTTAAACAATGAAGGGAAAAATTTTATTTTTTTCTTCTGTTTTTTTATATTTATCACGTGTTATCTCATCAGAAGAAATAACATTTTCCAATGCACCAGTAAATAATAATGAAGAAAATGAAACAGTAGAAGAAATTTTAGAAGATTTAAACAAAAATGAAACAGATGATAACCATATATTTCTAAATAAAGATACAGAGATATTAGAAGAAAATAATCAAGAAAACACAGAGGAATTAAATGAAGTAAATGATGAACAGCTAAATGAAGAAAATGCAGGAGAACAAGAATATAATATTGCAGGATTGCATGAAGATGATATAGAAGAAGTAGAAGAAAATAATAATACAGAATTGAACGAAGAAAATGTAGAATTACATGAAGATAATGAAGGAGAAGAACAAGAAAATAATAATGAAGAATTATACGAAGATAATGTAGAAGAATTACAAGAAGATGATAATGAAATAAATGAAACAAATGCTAGACAATTACACGAAAAAAATACAGAAGAATTACAAGAAAATATTACTGAAGAATTGAACGAAGAAAATGCAGAATTACATGAAGATAATGAAGGAGAAGAACAAGAAAATGATAAAGCAGAATTACATGAAGATAATGTAGAAGAAGTGCAAGAAAATGATAAAGCAGAATTGCATGAAGATGATGCAGAAGTACTAGAAAATAATACTACCGAATTATATGAAGATAATGCAGAAGAATTACATGATGATGATACAGAAGGAGAACAAGAACACAATATTGAAGAATTACACGAAGATGATGTAGAATTAAATGATAAAAATGGTAGGCAATTACATGAAAATGATGTAGAAGAAGTAGAAGAAAATATTAATGAAGAATTACAGGGAGAAAATGTAGAGGGAGAACACGAAAATAATACTGAAGAATTACATGAAGATGATGTAGAAGAAGTAGAAGAAAATAATAATGCAGAATTATACGAAGATGACGCAGAGGAAGAACAAGAAAATGATACTGCAGAATTACACGAAGATGATGCAGAATTAAATCAAAAAAATGGTAGACAATTACATGAAGATGATGTAGAAGAAGTACAAGAAAATATTAATGAAGAATTACAGGGAGAAAATGTAGAGGGAGAACAAGAAAATAATACTGAAGAATTACATGAAGATGATGTAGAAGAAGTAGAAGAAAATAATACTGCAGAATTACATGAAGACGATGTAGAAGAAGTAGAAGAAAATAATACTGCAGAATTAGGCGAAGATGATGCAGAAGCAAATCAAAAAAATGGTAGACAGTTACATGAAAATGATGTAGAAGAAGTAGAAGAAAATATTAATGAAGAATTACAGGGAGAAAATGTAGATGAAGAACAAGAAAATAATACTGAAGAATTACATGAAGATGATGTAGAAGCACATGAAGATAATACAGAAGTACAAGAAAATAATACGGAAGAGGCACAAGAAAATATTACTGAAGAATTACAGGGAGATGATGCAGAAAAATTAAATGAAGAAAATACAGAAGAATTCACTGGTCAAAATGCAGAAGAATTTTTCGAAGAAGAGACAGAGGAAGGTGTAGAAAACAAAAAGAAACCTTCAGAAGAGAACAATGAAGAAAATACAGAAGAATTCAATGGTCAAAATGCAGAAGAATTTTTCGAAGAAAAGACAGAGGAAGGTGTAGAAAACAAAAAAAACCCTTCAGAAGAGAACAATGAAGAAAATACAGAAGAATTCAATGGTCAAAATGCAGAAGAATTTTTCGAAGAAAAGACAGAGGAAGGTGTAGAAAACAAAAAAAACCCTTTAGAAGAGAACGATGAAGAAAATACAGAAGAAAATACAGAAGAATTCAATGGTCAAAATGCAGAAGAATTTTTAGAAGAAGAGACCGAGGAAGATGTAGAAAACAAAAATAAACCTTCAGAAGAGAACAATGAAGAAAATACAGAAGAATTCAATGGTCAAAATGCAGAAGAATTTTTAGAAGAGACTGAGGAAAATGTAGAAATCAAAAAAAAACCTATAGAAGAGAACAATGAAGAAAATACAGAAGAAAATACAGAAGAATTCAATGGTCAAAATGCAGAAGAATTTTTAGAAGAAGAGACTGGGGAAAATGTAGAAAGCAAAAAGAAACCTTTAGAAGAGAACAATGAAGAAAATACAGAAGAATTCACTGGTCAAAATGCAGAAGAATTTTTAGAAGGAGAGACAGAGGAAGATGTAGAAAACAAAAAAAAACCTTCAGAAGAGAACAATGAAGAAAATGCAGAAGAAAATACAGAAGAATTAAATGGTCAAAATGCAGATGAAATTTTAGAACAAGGAACAGAAGAAACCGTAGAAGAGTTGGGTGAAGAAATTATAGAGAAAAATATAATGCAAGAAATTGATGAAAATGTACTTGAAAATAACACAAGTAAAAATGATGAAGATTTTGAAACAAATTTTGATGAAGAAGAATTAGAACTTAATGAAATATTTATAGGACAAACTACAGATATGCCTTTAGAAAATGATGCTGTAGGTATTGTGGAAGCTCAAGATTCAGATACTGGGGATCAATCAGGTGGTGGCACAGGTTCAGGATCATCAGATTCCGGGGTAAGCGGAACAGGTGTAACTCAGCCAGCTGCAGCTGTTCCAGCCGTTCCAGGGGTTGGTGTTCCAGGGGTTGGTGTTCCAGGTGTTCCAGGTGTTCCAGGAGTTCCAGGGGTTTCAGGGGAAGCAGGTACTCCAGGGGTTGTAGGGACTCCAGCTGCAGATGCAACTGATGGAAGTGAATCTGCAATTTATACATTAGATACTCTTTATGATGATGTTCTTAAACGTTTAAAAATCACAGATTTAAATAATGCCCCTTATAGTGATGGATATAATAATTTAAAAAAAGAACTTAAATTACTTACCTTAAATAAAAAAGAACATGATTTGATTAAAGAAATTATAGATAGTTTCTCCAAAAAATACATAAAAGATGGAGACATAAGTGCTTTAGCTGATATATTTAAAAAGGCATTAACTGATAAAAAAGTTGCTGAAATATTGAAAAACTTAATCTCTAATGTTTATAGCTTTACTAAACGACATAATTACTTAAGAGCTGATAAAACGGAAAAAGAAACCTACACTACCGTAGTGGATAATGCAGTTAATTTATTAGGAAATATACTAGTTAATTAAACTTTATAAAAAAAAAAACAAATCATGATAAATGACTATTCTATTTAGTTCTATATTTTATTTTATTTTATTTTATTTTATTTTATTTTTTTTTTTTTTGCTTATTTTTTTATAAATTTATATAAGAAAATATCGATTAAAAATAAGCTTTAAAAAAAATAAATTTTTTTTTTTTTTTTTGTTAAAAAAATAAGATAAATTATACTTCATATTTTTTTTATTTAGCTTTTTTATTAATAAAATCCACAATGTAAATTAATTTAAGTTTAAATATGTATAAACAATGATTTAGAAAATTTTGTACATTAGAATACTTTAATATTAATAAAATTTTTTTTTTAAATAATAAGTTATAAATACTATTATTAATATAAAAAAAAATAAAAAAGATATAAAAACGTTATAAGGAACTCTTTATTCTAATGCTTTATTTTTATTTATTTTTTTTTTTTTTTTTTGTCTTTTATTCTTGCAAATTACACTTTTTAAGGTTTTATCTTAACTTGTATAAATAAAAAGAATATTTTTTTTTTTTTTATAGAACTTTGAAAAATTGACATAAAATTTCTAATTTTTCGATGTGTATATTTTGTTTTATGAGTACCCCAAGGAAGTTTTTTTTTTTTTTTTTTTGTGAAGAAAAATTTAGAATATTATTATTAAACATTTTTAAATAATAAGTAGTTTAAAATAACGTATTATCATTTTAAAATCTTTATAATTAAAAAAAATTTATTTTTTATAGAAATTATATAAGAAAAAACATTTATATCAAATATCCTTCATAAAATATGAAAAAGAAAATATAGGAAATCTATTCAATTATCATATATATATATATATATATATATATATATATATATATGATATTAACAAAATTTATTATGATATTTATAAAAACATTAATAGCTAAAAAAAAAAAATAAAATATAGAAATGATTAATATATGTTTATTATAAATTTCAAAGATAAATGAAATATTCATTAAACAAAAATTATTTTTTTTGAATTATATTAATATTTTATATATCTAAATTTAAATTTCTTCCTTTTTTTTTTTTTTATCTTATTATCTATTACTCTTTTTTTTATTTTAAGAATATTATTTTTTTTTATATTTTATTATATTCATCCGTAAAATGCTTAATTTGAGTTTCTACTTTTTCTATTAATAAATCATAAATATGATTAAATAAACCATCAGAAATTTTTAATTTATCATTTTTTTTTATAGTAATAAAATTTTTCCATGTTTTACCAGCTTCCAATTCACTTGATAATTCTTTTATTTCTACAATAACTTTATGTATATGTAATTCCGTTATATTTACATAAATTGTAATATGTAAATTACAAGAAAATTCAAAAATATGCCTTTTCGTTCCCCTTATAACCACAATTTGTGCATCAACTGATAAATCATTTATTTCATTTAAATTAATTTCCGATAAATATTGAATTGGTAGAACATCAGGATATTTCAAATTTGATAAATTATATTCATTTTGGTTATTTAAATTTAAAGAATCTAATTTTTCATAATTTTTAAAATGAATATTTTTTAAACATTCTTCTATTTTTGATTTAGCCCATTTCGACATATCTTTTTCTTCATATGTTGTTCCAGCTGCATTCCATGATGATATTGCTTTATTTTCATTTTTGTAAAAATTAAAATCATCATTTATACCATTTTCTATTTTTTTGGGAATATTTTTTTCAAAAAATTTTTTATCATCTTCTTTTATATCTTTTTTAAAATAACAATAGCCCATTTTTTTAGTTTCATCAATTATTTTTTGATCTTCTTCATCTATATCTAGATGAGATGAATTATTAGATGTATTGGACAGCAAAGAATCACTTTTTTTTTTTTTTTTTTTTTCTTTTTCTCTTTCTTTTTCTCTTTCTTTTTCTTTTTGCTTTTGTTTTTCTTCTTCTTCTTTTATTCTTTTTTCATTTTCTAAAGCTTCCCATTCATCAAAATCAATTAATTCTTCATTTTTTTCTTTTCTAGATTTCATATCATTCTCATATTTTTCTCTTTTTTTTCTAATTATTTCCTTTTCTCTATCATCATAAAGACCAGAAGCTTTTTCAAAAATTTTTGAATAGGCCTCTTTTTGTTTTTTGTTATCTTCATTTTTTTTTATTATTATATTTTTCAATAATTTTTTTGCATCTATATTTTCTGGATAAACTTTAAGAAATTCTTGTATTTTTTCTTTTGCTATATCAAAATTGCATCTATTAAATTCTATTTGACATAATCGAAATATTCCTTTTGCATTATTTTTATCTATATTTAACACTTTCATTATATTATCATAAGCTTCATTGTATTGTTCTATATTTGAATAACACAAACTTAAATTTAAATATAAGGCAATTTCTAATTCTTTTATTTTATCATTTTTATTTTCTATTTTTTTTAAATATTTTATTCCTTCATTATATTTAGAAATAGCTTTCTCATGACTCTTATTCTTATAATGATTATTTCCTTCTAATTTTAAATCTAATATTTTTTTCACCTTTTCATCAAAACTCATATTTTTTACTATTTCATCAAACTCCTTTTCTTTGTCATTTTCTATATTATTATTTTCTTCATTATTTCTTGAGTCTTTATTATTTCCGTTTAATTTATCCATTTTATACAAAAAATGTACAATTTGAAATTTTAATTAGTAAAAAAATATTTTATATATTTTTTAACCTTATATAATTTTTTATAAAAAAAAAAAAATTAATAAAAAAAAATTTCTTTTTTTCTTTTTTTTTTTCTTCATAAACAGTAAATATATATATATATAAAAATTTTTTTTTGTTTTTCAAGTTTACTAAAATATATATTTTTTTTTCTCATATATTTTAGTATTTTTTATTATTTTTAATTTATTTTCTTAATTACGAAATAATTTTTTTTAAGGGATAATCTATCTTCAAATAAACTTTTTTACAATAATTTAAAAATATTTTATGAAATTTAAAAGTGTATTTTAAGACTATACCTTTTTATAATTTTTTCAATAGAATTTAATTTTTTTTAATTATTTCTATATATATATATATATGTTATTTATTCAACAAAATTAATAATAAAAAAAATTCTATAAAAACATACTTCTTTTTTTTTATGTAATTTTAATTTTTTTTTTTTTTTTTTTTTTTATATATACATATATATATATATATATATATATATATCTTCACTAAAATGTAAAAATAAGAAAAAATAAATAAAACTTTTTCTAATTTTTTTTTTTTTATTATTTAGAAGATCATAAATATAAGGAATTATATATATATAGGAAATTAAAATGAATTATTTTCTTTTTCACAAAATTAAAGAAAAGTGATATAATTAAAAATATAAATAGCTTAAATTATCATTTTTTTGTAGATGTAAATTATGCGTGTTTTTTTAATTATTCGTGTAATTTTTCTTAATTTTTTTCTTAATTTTTTTCTTAATTTTTTTTATTTTTTTTTAATATGAATATCTAATATATTTCTTATAATAAAAATAATGAACTAATATTATTTCTACATATGTGAATTTATATTTACAGAAAATTATAATAATTAAAAAATATATATGGTAACAATTATATTTTTATTTTTTCTCATATTTAATCTTGTAATTTTATAAATATTTTATCTTAATTTAAAATATTATAATTCGTATCTATATTAAAATATACAGTGGACTTCTTTTTTTTTTTGTTAGTTCATTAGTTTTATTTTTTTTTTTTTTAATATATTAGTTTATTTATAGATTTTTTTTTTTTTTTTTTCCCNCATATTTAATCTTGTAATTTTATAAATATTTTATCTTAATTTAAAATATTATAATTCGTATCTATATTAAAATATACAGTGGACTTCTTTTTTTTTTTGTTAGTTCATTAGTTTTATTTTTTTTTTTTTTAATATATTAGTTTATTTATAGATTTTTTTTTTTTTTTTTTCCCATTACAATAAAAATGAGAATAAAAATATTAAACTCTAATTTCACACATTAACAATTAAATACTTAATTTATATAAAAAAAAAAAAAAAAAAAAAAGAAATACAAAAAGAAATATCATAATAAAAGTAAAACTATTTATTCCCTTCATTTATTGAAATCATCCTTAAAAAAAAGAATAAAAGTTAAAACATTTTTTTTTGTTTTTCTTTTTCTTATTCTGTAAGGTTGTTTAATTATTTTTATTTTTTACTATGCATGTAATTATTTTTCCTTTTAAATGTATAAATTAAAAGTTATATTTTTGTATACTTTTTTTATTAGTTTTAATTTTTTGTAATAAAATTGAAAGAATATTTTGTATCAATTTAATTAAAGAATATGAATACATAATAAGTATTGTTGAATACAATTATTTTTTATTATTTATGAATTATCTATATTTTTGAATTTTCTTTTTTAAAATGTCTTCAAAAAAACTTTTTTTGTTTAAACAAATAATAAAAAAAAAATGTCTAGGAAAATTATCTTTTTCATCATTTTATATTAAAATAAACAATTTAATAATTAAAATAATTTGAAAAAATTTAAAGAAATGTTCATGTATAAGAAGACACAAATAATATTAGCATATTTTTTTTTTTTTTCATTTTTATATTTTTAATAAAATAGAAAAAAATATATTTTTTAAACATCTATTATTACTTTTAATAGAATTTAAAATTACTATTCTTTTCCATATAATTATAAATAAATAAAAAATAATTCTTAAATAAATTATTTATAGTAAAAAGAAAAATTACTAATTTATCCTTTTCTATAATTTAAGCAGCCATAATTATTTTATTTTTTTTTTTTTTTGAACTTTTTTTTTTGTAAATTATTATTATTATCATCTAAATATATAATTAAAAAAATGCATATACAAATATACATGACTAACATAAATATGTAATGCAAAAAATATAAATTTCTTTTTTTGTAATTTATGAATTAATATATATATTATAAATTTTTCAATAACTTTATGATTTTTTTTACTTTTTCATTATAAGACTATTTATTTATTTTTTATTTTTTTTCTTTTTCTGTAATTAACATAACTTTACATTCTTCTTGTACAATATATTTTTTTTAAATATATAATATGAATTGATTTATAAAAAAAAAAAAATTAAATAATTAGATATACACGTTTTCATTAAGAAAGCATATTTAAACTAATACTAAAATATAGAAGATTTTGAAGAAATGAGAGATCTTCTGAATAAATTAACTTTAGAAAATATAGCAAATGTTAAAATAAGAGCATACAAGAATGATAATTTTGTTGATGAAAATGAAAAAAAAGAGAAAAAAAATGAAGACAATTTTTACAACGTCTATATTCTAACATATATAAAGCATATTGTAAGAATAAAAGCGAACTTAGCTTTACATGGAGGATTATATAGTAATTATTTTGAAAAATATGAAGAAGAATCTATATCCAACATAATGCTTGAAAATTTATTAAATAAAAATGATTTAAATAAAGAAAACAGCGAATATAATGGAAAAACTGATAAAAATATAAAATATTATAGAGATATGAAAAAAAATGAAATTAATGAAGATAATAAAAGAGATTTAAATTATTCTATTAAAGAATTATTAAAAAAATTAATTAAATCTTATAAAATTAGAGAAAATAAAATATTTCTAGTAACAGGAATGATGGGGTGTGGAAAAACAACTTGTGTAAGTTTAGCAATTGAATATTTTAATAAATTTTTACAAATTGAAAAAAATATGCAACATAAAAATGATAAAAAAAGTGTTTTATTTTTATCAGTTGATGAAAATAATAATAAAAAAACCTATAAAAAAACTCCTTATACATCTAAAAGTTATGAACAGGGGGATGTTAGTTATGAATCTCTATCAACTAATGATAAAAAAATAAGAATAAATTATAATGAGCCACTATTTAATTTTACACCAAGAAAAAAAAAGAAAAGAAAAACAAGTAATTCTTCAGAAGATGAAGATGATGTGATATGTAATTCAAATAAAAAGAAAGATAATTCTTTAAATTTAAATCTTGAACAAATAAATAATAATATAAAAAATATTTTTGAAAATGATGATTTATCACCCTTAAGAAAAAATGCAAATATAAGAAATAAAATCCAGTTTGAACAAATTTTTAAGGAACATGAAACTAGTAATATTGGAGAAGGTAATGAAAATGAAAACTCAGAATTTAATGAAAAATATAGAAAGATTGTAGAAGAAATTAAAGCAGAAGAGAATGAAGAAAGGTGTATTTATACAATTCGAATTAGTGCATATTTATATAAAGACGATTTACAATGTATTAAATCTATCTTATCGCAATTGTATAATTATCTTAATAAAGAGGAAAAGATGGAGACAAATTTATTATTAAATGATTATATAATAAAATTAGAAAATATATTAATTGAAATAAACAATAATAAAAAACAAACATTATTGATTATTGAAAATGTAGAAAAATTTTGCTTACAAAATAAGCAAAACTTATTGTATACCTTATTTGATTTGTTACATAAAAAAAATATTTGTATTAATATAATTTGTTTAACTAATGTATTAGATATTACTCAAAATTTAGAGAAAAGAATTAAGTCAAGATTTACCTTTGAGATGATACATATATCTCCTATTTTAAACATAGATGAAATTTCTAAATTGGTGTATAAAATATTATATGTTAATTTAGATGATTTTCATCTCATTAAAAAATATTACTCCGTTTACTTTTCTTATAGTGATCTAATAAAAATTCAAAAATTTTTACAAATTTACAATTCAACTATGCAAAAAGAAATAGCTGATTCACATTTATTAAAACAGTGGTCTTATGATATTAATTATGGTTTAGATATTAGGCATATTTATCACACATGTGTTGATGCAATTTTATCCATATGTGAATATAAACACATTTTAAATTCAAATAGAGTATCTTTTAAAAATAACACTCTTCTTGATTCACATTCTGATAAAGAATCTAATTCATCTATAGAATATGATAGCTATTCTAACCAAAATAATGCAAATTCATCAAAATATGAAAACGAAAAAGGAAATGAAAACAATGAAGAAGATGTAATAGAAATTCAAACAGAACAAGAATTAAATTATGAAAATTACAAAGATGAAAAAAATTTTGGTGAATTAGTAACTACGAAAAATAAAAGAAACAAAAATAACAAAAATACTTCTTTAATAATGGAAAAACTAGGTTTTTTTTCAAAAGAGAAAAGGAATAATGTAGATTATTTTAAAGAAAGACAAGGAAAATTAGATAGCACACCTGTTAAAAGTAATTTTAATAAAGAAAATAAAGAAAATAAAGAAAATGAAGATAAAGAAAATCTTCATTTTAATGTGAACATAGATATGAGTCCCCGTAAATTAAAAGAAAATATAAAATTAAAAAGTAAAGTAGAAAGTGAATATATATTAAATAATGTTCAATCGAAATTCATAAGAAGACATTATATTAAAAAAGTTTTACGAGATTTGTGCACAATTGAATATCTCATATTATGTGCATTTACTAGATTATATAAAAAAGAAATATTACCAAAAACATTGTATGTAATTATATTAGAAATAAATAAATTTAAGCAAGCATATCCACAAGAACAAATTATAGGATTTTCCCTTGACGCTTATAGGAGATCTTTTTTTAGATTAGTAGATTTAGACATTATTATTTTATCTTCTTATTCATTAAGTCATTTAAATATAAAAAATTTTAGTAATGATTTATTTGGATTGCATGAACCTACAAAATTCCCATGTTTTGATATTTTCTTAGATAATATAGAATCTTATAATCTTAATCATAATTTAATTCAATGGGTTAAACATAACACGGAAGTTATGCAATAAGATAAAAAATTATTTAAATACTCATTTATATTAAAAAAATCTATTATGTAATAAAGAAAGACTGATTTTAACTTTTTTTTTTTTTTTTTTAAACATAAGTTCATTGTATTTATATATTTTTTCTATGATTATTATATACCTTAATTTTTAAAAATATTATTATAAAATATTTCATATTTTTGAATTTACATGAAATATAATACATATAAACTTATTTTTGGTATTTTTAATATTTTATTTTTTTCTGATTACACTTTAAATTTCAAACTTACAAAATATATTTTAAATCGTTAAGCATACAAATTTTTGTGTATACATAAAGTTATGTGAAAAAATATTTCATAAAATTAACTTGAAAAAGAAATTATTATATTATTTTATTTTATTTTTTTTTTTTTTTTTGATTACGTGGATATTCATTATATGTACAAAAAAATAATTTTTTTTTTTGAATATATTTTTATAGTATTTTTGTATATTAAATGTATTTTCTTAAAATTACAACCAAAATTTTTGGGTATATTTTTACATATATTAATAGAAATTTTTTGTAACTTATAATAAAGATGAAAATAATTTTTGTTTATCTAATAAAATTATATAACCTCACAAAATTATAGAATTTATCTTGTAAAGAATTTAAGAGAAAAAAATATATTCATTTGCAATAATAAATTATATATATATTTTCTCTTTAACTAAAATTTATATTTATATTTATAATCTTTATAAAAAAAAAAAAAAAAAAAAAATTGATATTGCACTTTTTTTTTTTTTTTTCTTTTAAATAATATTTCAAAAATATTATTTTTGTAATATTTTATGAAAGTATGCAAAGTAAAATTTTGTAATACACACAGTATTTTTTTATTTTCTTTATATAGTTATAACAAAATTATGAATATAAGATTATTTGCAAAAAAATATGAAAATTACAGAAAATTCAAAAAAAGTTAATATGTTTGTGGAATACAGTTGAAAAAAATTTATATAGATTTTTAAAAAAAAAAAAAAAAAAAATTTATTAGTATGAAATAATCCTAATAAAAAGGGATGATAAAAACATGTATTAAAGAAATGAAAGAGGTAATTAAAAACAAAAAGACTAATGCAAGTTAAAATTATATTAAATTAAAAAGAAGGAATTTCTAAAACAGTATTTCATAAAGATATAACATAAATGAAATAATTATATAATAAAAAATATTATAATATTCTCTATATATATGAACAAAAAATAATAATATTATTATTTTTATTTTTGTAATAGAGTAAAAAAAAATTATTATTTTTGCTTTTCTTTTTGGTTGAAACATATATAATTAAAATTTTTTATTTAGTAGATTTATAATATTTAATTTATCAAAAACAAGAAATGTATAAGATAGTATGTTTTATATAAATAATTAGAAGAAAAAAAAAAAAAAAAAAAAAAAAATAGTAAAGAAGGGAAAAAATTAGTGTGTAAATTTATTGTAGAGATAAAATGATTAAATAAAAAATTAATAAAATTATCTTTCTTTTATTAAA